AAAAAAAAAAAAATGCATTGGACTTAATCGAAGAGTATGAACAAAAAAAACCAGTTTACCAATCTCCTCACATTCATTCAGTCGACCGAGAAGCTGATTCAAAATAGCCCATCAACTAGTGACCCCACCACAAACCGAGCTGAACGTCCCTTTTGGTGCTTTCATCAATAGCCACCGGAAAATTAAGATCAAACAGCTCCTCACTAACTTCTTCCACAGCATCATCCTCTTCTTCATTCACAGTTTGCATATTTGTTCCTTCAGTTTCAGTATAACTTTCTGTAGCGATTCCAGTTTTGTAGTGGGCCCTCTTGTGACCTCCCAAAGCTTGACCCGATGAAAACACTTTTAAGCAAACCAGGCATTGATATTTCCTATCTTTCTCGGGACCCTTCAGGATATCATCAGGACTAACTTCGTTTTCAGGACTGTTCATTTCATAAGCCGATTGAACAGGCGAGCTTAAGCTTACTCTATCAGATTTGGTAGAGACCCACTCGACAGAAAATTCGTGTAGTTTTTCATGTTTTGCGGTTTTACCAACCTTCAATTCATCTTCAGCAACAAAAACCGAACCAATACCAAGAAAACCACATACATTCTTATCCTTACAGCTACTTAACAAGCTCATTTTCACCTTTTTATCAGCATCACACACAAAGTTCTTACCTTTACCAAATTCATCACCATCGTTTTCAGAGGACTCGACAGCAAAGTCAAACTTTGACCAATCCCTCACATCTCTTGACAGCATTATCAAAATCTCAGCAACCTCCTCAACTTCAGATTCATTCAAATTAGAAAACGAAGGACTTGGATCAGTAAATGTACTACTCTTATAGTTGTACCTAATCATGGACCGTTTTTTACGAACCGGGCACAAATTCTCCAAATCAGACAAACTTTCACTGGATAATTCATCAGCAAGGAAAACAGACCTCAATCTCTTGGAGTGACTTTTCATGTGGCCAAACATGGCCCTAATCGAATCGAACCCTTTGCCACAAGTCTTACACTGATGAATTCCCTTCTTGTTCTTGATCGAGTGGGACCTCATGTGGCCAGAGAGAGCTCTCGATGTGGGAAACTCTTTGCCGCATTCTCTGCAGGAAGCTGTGCTGCTAAGGCCGTGTTTGGGATCAGAAATTCTCCAAGATTTTTTCGGATTCTCTCGTAGCTCGTAGTTAGTGTTTCGATCGGCATCTTCTTCAGAATCCGAGGTGTTGCTGCAGTTTTTGTGACTTTCTTCACACGGAAAAGCATTTTTGGGGCTATCTTCGAGCTTAACATCAGGTTCTTGATCGTCACTGCCTTCAGAATCTGTGTTGATATCATCATCAGCTTTCGATTGTGCTGCTTTTTTAGAAGCTGCAATTAGAGACAAATGGACCCTCATGTGGCCACCCAATGATTTCCCACTCGAGCAAATTTTGCTGCATATTTTGCACACATATCTCTGTGCCTGAACCTGAACTTCACCCATTGCAAGAGAAAGATCTTCTTCTTCTACAAAAACAAGAAACAAGAAAATGAGAAACGAACCCAGATGAGAAAAATAAAAAATCAGTGAATATCTCAGTTATCAGCCTTTAATACAAACGAATTTTAAGCACCACGTTGAAACAAAGAGTCGAGAAAAATCAATGGAACAGAGCGATTACTTACAGTCGAACACGAATCAGAAGAAGAAAAAAAAAAAAGAATCGATCTTTTTCGAGGAAAACGAAAGATTAACACGTAAAAGGAGATTTTGAAGCGAAAAAAGAGAAGCCCATCTCAAAATCGGAGCAAAAATGTAAGATCTGGTGAAGAAAAATGATGAAAAAAAAAAAAAAAAAAAAGGGACGAAAATTGACGAAGACGAATTGGCAAGGAACCTTTTAGTTTGAAATTATCTGACTCCGAGTGAGAGAGTGGTGGTTTTAAAGGACTGTTTGGAAGCAACACAGAGTGTGCCTAAGAAAAAATATAAAGAACGAATGGAAAACAACACACACACACACAGTCTCTCTCTCTCTATCTCTCTCTCTCTGTGTGTCTGTGCTATCTTTTTGTTTCTCTCTCTTGAATCTTGATGATGGGCCAGCCTAATTTGGGATTAAAATGAGTAGAAAAGAGCCTTGCATGGAAAGCAAAGGCAAAAATGGCCCTGAGAGAAACAAAAGCAACACTTGCAGGAGCAAAATGTGTTGTGTTTACTCGCTGCAAATGGTGAGAGCAATTCCTTGATTTGCAGCTCATCAAATCACGAAATTGATTTTTGGCAGTAATTATATGGATTTGATTTGATGGTCACGATTTGATGAACACGCGCGAGCACAGAGCGTGGGTTAGGGGTGGGGAAGAACAGGCTGTAGGTT